TTCTACTTTTAAATGCGACATGAATGAATTATTACGCTAGTCATAACTGACGCATTATTACACGCCATTCCAATAATATTTTTAATGGGAATTTCTCTTTCGTCTAAAGAATTTTTAAAAATTTGAAAAATTTTACTCGCGGAACAATTGTATGTTGACGTCATTTATCGATCGACTTTAAAAAATAATTGCTATGTATCTTTTTATTTAAAAAATAAATAAATAACCACAAATATGTACACTATCACCTTTCTCGTATATTAATGTTCTCAAAATTTACTTAGTTAACTATTGTCAATCTAAAATAAATATAATACAATTATCTAAAAAAAATCTTTAACTTCACAAAAATAATCCTCGAAGAGGTTATGTCATTTAACTACTTGTTGATACATACTGTACGATACCGACTCATCGTAAGACGCTGACGTCATTTATCGATCAACTTCGACTTCAAAAAAGAATTACTATGTATCTTTATTTAAAAAAACAAATAACCACAAGTATGTATGTCATCATCCTTTTCGTATATTACTGTTCTTAAAATTTGTTTAGTTAATTATTATCAATTTAAAATAAGATGCAATTATCTACAAAAAACCTTTAATTCTACAAAAGCGATCCTCGAAAAGGTTATGTCACTGATAACTTGTCGATACCGTATCGACTCATCGACGAAACGTGACGTCATTTACTAATATTCGCTACTAGAATAATATACAAGTGCGACAACTTTAAAAAATAATCACAATTCTTTTATTATTTAAGCAAACGATCAAAATTTTTCTCGAATAAATTCTTCGGTTCAAATTTGTAATAAATCTATCTCGCCAAAAATAATAGTTTAATTTTAAGTAATTTAAACGAGGTTGTAATCGTGTCATTAAGATAATAGACGGTGATACACGAAGTAAAATATTCGTGATTGAACGCCGGGTATATACATACGTACATCGACAGCGTGTAAATTCGTTGTCTCATTCGCTCTGATTCATTCTTACTTTTATCTTCGAGTGATCTTCGGAGGATTACGTCATCTTTGATTCTCGACCTATCCTCTAGATATGCTTGTAGTCGATTTGGACTCGTGCATAAACTATAAACAGATCTTATTTATAATACCGATATAGAACATTCTTTTTCTATTATCGAAACAGTCTTTGGTGAAATAGTTATTTATTCCAAGCAAACAATAATAGTAGAAACTATTTCAGGAACTATTTCCGCGACTGTGTTGGATTTTATTGCATGATGGATAAGAGACTATTATGATGCACATGTTTAGGTGACTACAGAAGGTTTTTGAGAGATGAAGTATAATTGGTGCTCGAATGAATTTTCTTCTCGTCGCATATTTTAGTTACATTGGCATAAGTAGATAGGAACTAAGATGGGTTTGACTCTTTTAAAACGTAACTGGTCCTCTGCGTGTACCTTGCACTTTACGTGACTTTTTTATATTGGAAATTTAAAAGTTCTCATGGCGATTTTCTGATTTTCAAATTTTTAAATTAGTCAATATTTTTAACTGCACATTTTTAGTTTTAAAATTATTAAATGTTTAAATTTCCAAATTCTTCAACTTCTAAATTATTAAATTTTCAAATTTTTTAATTTTTTAATTCTTAAATCTTTAAATTTCCAGATCAAAAAATTTTTAGATTTTCAAATTTCTAAAAATACCAATTTTCAAGTCTTTAACTTTCAAATTCTCAATTTCATAATTTCTACATTTCCAAATTTCAACATTTCCACATACTTACATTTGTGCATTCCTAAATTTTTAACTTTAAATATTTTCAAATATTTAAATCACCAAATTACTTATTTCAAAATTCCCATACTCACAAATCACCATATTTTTAAATTTAAAATGGATTAATTCATGACATGCATTAATTGTCGAATTAACCAAAGAATTATTGAAATTGTTATCTTTCTTATCGTAATCAAATTTTCTTACAAAATTTTAACGAATTTTTTAACTGAATTTTCTCAAAAGATTAAGACCTATATGAATGAATTTTATTCTATATTTTCGACTTATTTTTGGGATGTACAATTATTCGCTTCTTTCTTGATCTACTATAATGCAAAATATCGAACAATTGTTTCACTGTTATATTAGAACAATTAGTAATTTCTCAGATTCATGACGCATATAATTATAAATTTGCAATTTTGCAGATGAGTCACAATTTCTTTTAGACGAATGATACATAATTATAATTATACAAAAAAAAATTAGCATGGATGACCAACTTGTGATGAAATTTGTGGCTGACAAATGTGGATGTGTTTTCCAACGAATTGACATTCTGACATATTAGATATTCCTCGAACCAGATATAATATATCTACAACGCTTGTTACGTTTATTAAACAGTATTTAAAATTATAACATACTTTTATAAAATTACAACATAATTTTAAGTAGAATAATATTACATTTTTAAATTTGAAATAGTGCCAAAATACTCAATTTTTACATTTTCAAAATTTTCAAACTTTAATTCATAAATAATTGAATTTCAAAACTTTTCAAGTTTTTGAGTTCTCAAATTTAAAAATTTTGAAATTTTTGATGCATAATTTTTTCCTTATGCATAATTGACGGAGAGCTTTAGTTTTCGAGATATTAGCGAAAAAAAAATTGAAAAACAAATATTCGTGTTGTCTTTTACCTAATTATGTTCATGGCATTTACGCAGACAAAAAAAAAGCCAGGAAGATCTGTCTCACAGTATTCTATACAATTCTCCCCATAAAAAACATGAAATAAAATAATTTTAAGAAAAAAAATACGCTGACTTCGAAATGCACTAAAAAGTATAAAATAATTTCTATTTCCTAATGAAGTAATTTCTATTTGATTCAATCATACAATTACGTAACAGATATGAATGAAACCTATTTACTCGTTAGGTAGTATATTAAATACATTTCAACCTTTTCGGAGGCGGCGCAAAATTAAAAGATTTTCTTGAACATGTCAACCTTTGGACAGCCGAACATAGGCAAAGCTTGTATGGTTTTTTTTCTTTTCTATACATATAACTCGACAGCACGCCGCGAAGTAGGTGTAGTGCGTATAGAATTCAACTATGGTCTATCTAGATTCATAGAGTATGCGAGGAAAAGACTCGATCGCCGCATATACTATAAAGATAGAGCCTATCTGCCACAAATTTGGTAATTCCCGCGTTGTGGGCTCTGTTTATAGGTTCTTAGATCCATGGCTTCCACATGCGAACAAAGTCGATTCAATTTCATTTATATCAGAAACATTGCGAAATGAAGATGCAGTCGTTACATCTACGTATATTACCAGATATATCTATAATGGTTCGTATTCTTTCTCAGGATTTATTAATTTCCAATACGCCATACCACAATCAACTGGTTATTGGCAGCAACGTTTACTGAGGTA